GGGAGCTACCTTTGCATGGGTAACTAAAATGTGAAGCCTTATGCTACTACGCAACAGGAGAGTTTACATATGCTAAATAATCATCACTGAAGGAATTAAATATGAAAAATGTTCCCTTCCAAGATATTGCAAGGCTGTATTATAGTTATATGGTAAACACTATAGCCCCTATTTCCTTATTACATGGTATTTTAATACGTACTTAAAATACTGTACTATTTATTTTAGTAGCTGGTATCTACAGAAAATCATAGCAATAGCAGACACCCAAATGGTAGCAAAGAGGATAACCAGTTAAAAAAAAGTATATGAAATGACGACCAGTCAACCACATTGGATACATGTATATATATCGGTGTAATCAACTTTTAAAAAATGGCCTTAATTACCTTTCCAACACCAGCAGCATAAGAAAAAGGCACTAATACACACACACACACACGGTGTATCCGTTCATAATTTTTCCACTTTTAAATTAGAACTTCGCAACACAACTTTTATTTAAGTCACATGTGCAGGTGTATGTTAGTTGTGTATATATAGTTTCATAGTTTCTAGGGTCGGAAGCGACCTGGGCAGATCATCTAATCCGACCCCCTGCCATGGCAGGAAAGAGTACTGGGGGTCAAATGACCCCAGCAAGATGGTCATCTAACCTCCTCTTAAAAACCCCCAGGGTGGGAGCCTGCACCACCTCACTTGGAAGCTGGTTCCAGCCCCTAGCCGCCCTGACCGTGAAGTAGCGCCTCCTGATGTCCAACTTAAACCTTCCCTCCGCCAGCTTGTGACCGTTATTCCTGGTCACTCCTGGCAGCGCTCGGGGGAACAGGGACTCCCCCAGTGCCTGTTGATCCCCCCTGACTAGTTTATAGCAGGCCACAAGATCCCCCCTCAGCCTTCTCTTCTGGAGGCTGAACAGGTTCAGGTCCCGTAACCTTTCCTCATAGGACCTGCCCTGCTGTCCCTTGATCATGCAAGTGGCCCTCCTCTGGACCCTCTCGATGCTGTCCACATCCCTCTTAAAGTGCGGCTCCCAGAACTGGACGCAGTACTCCAGCTGCGGCCTGACTAGTGCCGCATAGAGGGGGAGGATCACCTCCTTGGTCCTGCTTGAAATGCATCTGTGGATGCACGACAAGGTACAGTTGGCCTTCCTAGCCGCCTCCCCACACTGCCGAGCCATGTTCATCTTATATACATATATGTATATAAACACTTTGCAGAAGGGATTATGAAAAGTATTATCAACATATACAACTATCAACATACACATTGAAAAGTACTATCACCATACACATTGACACATTCAGATACATAACAGTTTTAGTGATTTACATAACAGGCCTACATGACCAATACCTGACCATCAATTCCTGCCTATTCAATTAAATCAATGGGGAGTTCTGCATTTTGTGCTTGATCCAAATCTCACTGAAGTCCCACAGACTTCAATGCAACAGAGTCTGAATCAGATGAGATAATAAATTAGTGAAGGGATATTCTCTTGTGTCCTACAATAGGAAGTGTCACTCCACCCTGCTCTGCTCCCCTCCAATAAAGGAAAGCATATACTAGGAGAGAATCTGCTAAGTTGGTTCATAGATCAGCATTCTGACCCATGTTTTATAACCTACATAAAACTAGAGCCTAATGCACCTCATTTTATATATATATATATTTTTTAATGGTATAACCTCCCCCCCATCTAAGTTCTGTCTGCCTATCCTACCTTAGTATATGCTTATCCTACATCATGTATTTGTATATTGTTTGCATTTGTGACAATCATACTTAATTTAAAAGATAAAGAATTACGTCTAAGCCCTCTCAGGTATTTCCCTGAGCCAGTGAGAGATGAGGGTGCAAATCAAAATAAAAGACCTCAGTGGAAGAAAGTCTCCATGAGGAACTCCTTGCATACATTCTGCTTCATTAGCCAGGTAGATTTTGTCTCCCCATTTCTTGGCAGAGGATATAGGGACTACAAAAAGAAATCTCACGGATATCTTGAGATCTATGTTATCACAAGCAAAATACATATTTCTATAAAAAAAAAAAATACTGCAAGGAAGCAGCATATCTGTGTCTCACGTTCTCTAAACCCTACCTGTAAAATATTGTTGAACTAAAAAGGCAAATCAATTTTTGCATGTAAGTTCACCATGCAGGGTCATAATGCCATACCTCTAGCTTAATTCTCTTTGGTGAAAGCTCATCTCTTTCTCCACATTTAGATCTAGAAGGAAAAAAAAAAAAGTCAAAACCACAAGTCTACTTGGACAATCCTGTCATAAAATGAAAAGAAAGCAACTCAATGTCATCCCTGCTACAACTCTCATGACTTCAGCAAAGCTACAGTAAGGATTCATTTTAGTAGACTAATATAGGGCCAAACCCTACATCTCAATCATGCAATTAGTCCTGATGAATATATTAGGAGTACTCATCTAACCACCTTTGAAGGACTGGATGTGTTGAAGGGTAAGCAGATGGAACTCAACTATGGGCAAGGAAGTTTGGTCAGTTAAGATGCTGTAATAAAGTGCTAAGGTGTTCCATTTGGGCTGATCTGCTGTTGAGCAGAGAGGCTTTTAACTAGGGAGAAGGAAGGTAACGGGATGAGAGCAAATACAGACAAGATCATACAGTGAGACAAGAAACATACTAAAAGCACCTGACATTAAACTAAATTAAGGTGCAATTAATCCCATGGGCAAAACTCCTCCTATATGCTGTTCTTTTGAACAGAGATGAATTTCACCTCAAAACAAAGTTTGAGAAAGAACATAATGGTATGCTGTTGGCCTCAGCTATGCAACATGAGGGAAAGCCTTAGCACATCTATGGTATGGGAGGAAAAAGCAGCTGAAATGGGGTGGGGGGCTGGGGGATACAAATTGTTGGGGGCAGAATTCTGAAACATGACAATATATTTACAAAAATATGGAAAATGTTATATATCAAGGATACACTCAAAATATTACTATAAAAAACTACCAGAAATATCAATTATATTTATAACCCTATTTTAAGAAATCTCTTAATACTATAATATAGATAATCTGATATAAAAATCCATCATGCTTCCTTTATTGTAGTTTCTTTCCAAATCAAATCAAGACAGATCATCAATTTAGATCTGGTCCCACATTTTTTAACCATGCCAGTAAAACCACCTATCACTGCTTCTGCCTTTTGTATACAGATTGGATTAACAGGATTCAAGCAACTGTGTTTAGGCCTTAGCCACTGTGCTCATTATATTACATCTGAATTACAAATTTCAACAAATATTTAAGAAGCTTGAGTCTCAGAGATGGTATACTGAAAGGGGATATACCATTCCTGAATCTGGAAAAATAAAGGGCAAATGAAAAGGTTAGAAAGCCTACATAATACAATTGATAATAGCATTAGGAAAGTTCCATGATTCATATAGTGTTACTAAAAATATCTATTTTATGCATCTATCTGCTCCCTCCCCGCCTTATGCAATTGTTCTGCTAGCCACAAAAGACTGAGAGATTTTTAATGCTTCCAAAGCAAAAAACAAAACAAACAAACAAACACACACACACACCCCCACCCCACTAAGCTCGTTCACTACACATGAAGCTCCCTCCGAGTTAATTAAAAGCTTACTTGGTCGTCCTGTAAGTATACTTGTATGTAACTTCTCGAGAGATCTGTCGAGCTAGCGCAAAGAGTTCATCTCTCCTGGTCAACAATGCATTATCTTTTACACACAGCTGAGCGGCTGCTTCATTAACTGTTAGCTGAAAGTAAAACACAAATAGGATTCATGATTTTTCAAACTGCCAACTGCTGACCCTTATAAAAGCATCCACTCTTCAGAAATGATAATGGATTTCAATGACAAGTCATTTACTTATAACTGTATGCTGAGCCTGTGTGTGCTTGTCTTCCCAGTTACTTGCCACGGTTATGAAAAGGGATACAAAAAGATGCAAGAACAGTATAACTTATACTTTAATTATAAGATGTCTTCATATAAGCTACTTGTACCAAATGCTAATATTAATTTGATACCAACACAAACATGCTGCTCTTAATATTTGAATAATTTAGCTTTCAAACATGTTTGACAGAGGATATTATTTTTATAAATGCAAGTGTGTAAAAGTATACACAGGGCTTGAAAACCCACCGACAGTGGTGGGTAGAAAAGCTTTCCTGAGTGAGTAAAGGCTACATTTCCCACCTTTAGGGTTGTGAAGATATTCTTCAAATGTAACCAGGCCCAGCAACATTACCCTAAGCCTGCTAGGACTGCGACCCAGTGCCTCTGTTGCTGCTAATGTATCTTTACAACATGGAATTAATAAGGCTTGTCAGCTTTACTACTGGCAATTAGAATCCTACAGGAAACACTGCATTTATTCTAAATACCTGTTTCATGCTATTGCTGACTGAAAAGCCCATGATCAACATCAGAACACACACTGAAGTTACACATGGACAGAGAGAAATCAAAACCCAGCTGCTGGAGAAGCTGTAGATTCTCTTTCATCTCACAGCAGCCATGACAGGAGAAAGCATTTCAATCTATGTTTCAGAGAGTGAATGGCACCAATATCAGGCACTCCAGCAAAAGGCTGTTATAACATATCTATCCTCCCAGAAGACACCAGAACCAACACCTCTTAGAGGTCTCAAAATGCTTCCCTTTTCAAGCAGCTCAGTTTTCAAGAGACTGAACTTCTCACCAAGGCACCAGCCCTACATTCACTGGTGGCATCCTCCATCTTGGTATTTTACATCTTCCTCAGGCTTGTTACCTATAAACAAGTATATTTTTCAAAACACTGTCAGCACATTTATTAGGGATCTAGTACTGCCATTTTCCATCCACACCTGTTTGTGCGGTCCAAGCTCTTAGGGAAGTGATGGTTCTCAACTATGGTGCCACAGCTAAGATCCTTTCAGGTGTGCTGTGGGGTGCCATGCAATGTTAGTACTGTCAGGTGTGCAAACATGACTCTCAAGATAAACCCAAAGGGCTCCTACAGACATGCAGCGAGGCAGCTCCAACATGCTGTAAATCCAGTGTGAAGCACACTTGATTAATCAAGTCTGCTAAAGCACAAAAATTAATGCACTCCAGCAGCCTCCAGTGTCACGTGTGTCAGCATCCCTGCGCTGAAAAATGGCAGCGGGGCACTTTGAACTAAAGCTCATCGAACAAACTTTAGTTCAAAGTGCCCCGCTGCCATTTTTCAGAGCGGAGATGCTGAACACATGATGCTTGGGCACTTTTAAGTAGTGTGGCTTGCTAATTAAAGCACCTCCCCCCCCACCTCCCAGAGCACATCTATAAATGCCCAGAGATTTCAAATAGGAATTTGCAGTGTCAAAAACATTCTGACCTGTTATGGTCTTTCTGAGGTCTTTGCAACAGAAAAAATGCTCTATAATTTTTACTTGTTTTTGGCTGCAGAAAAATAAAGAGCTGGCACTTTCTGCAGGGTGCCTCAAGTCTAAAGAGAGGTGTCCTGAGTTTAACAAGGTTGAGAATCACGATCTTGGGGCAAGGAAACACCAGGTCACTGAACAGGGCCAACCACAGGCAGGGAAATCACACACTGGCACACAACCCAAAACTCTTTGCATCAGCAGAGAAATGGAGTTTAGGAGCAGGACAGTAGGTCTATATTGACAATGAATTACTGGCAAAAATTCTGCATAGCTTTCTTTACTTCACTATGGCATGGTTATGTTTATAACTGCAATGGTTTTACCTCCAAAGGTTATAGAAACCCATCCCCCTTGTAAGCAAGCCTTCTGCAAAAAATAGTCCTAGAATGAAACCTCTTATACAAAGCGTCATGAACAAACAGAAGTTTACAGACTTGATCTGGAGGTTTTTGGCACCATCACTTAACTACTACCTTCAATTCAGTTTAGTATAATAGGATACAAAAGTTTTAGCACTATAAATGGTAGTAGAGCTGAGTTACCCAAGGGGTACTGTTGAGACAACTAGGTCTTGTTGGTCTCACAAGCAACTGTCATTCATGATCAACTGTCACTGAAATAAGACTAACAATAACAGAAGTACTAGAACCATTTTGAAACATGGTTACAACTGCCTTAATACCATATATTGAATTAAAATAATGAAAAGCTCAGTAGACCAAAAATCTCCAGGTTTTTTTTAAGTAGCAATGTAAGTAGCAATGACATTTTCATAATTAACGGATATCCAAGCAATTAATGCAACTTATAATAGTTTCAATATTCTTTAAGGATCAGTCTTCACACAGTTCTTGTATATCATGAATAATATGCAGCTGATGCTTAAATAACATTCCAAGTTATTCTATAACAGGATAAGGTTTCAAAAGGTTGGAATAATACTTTTAAAAAATTAATTCACTACTGGCAAGTACTCTTTGTCATAATGCATAAGAAAGCCATTTTTTTTTTCTGTTTTGTGCTCTTATGTCAGATTCCCTACAATCACTACAAATCCAACCTTACTAAATAAAAAGACACGATGGCCTTCTCCCTTTTCAGGTACCGAACCACAAGAAACAAGTGGGAAATTAAAGTGAAATGCAGCTCAAACAAGGCTCCCTCACCTACCTATAACAATGGGGTTTCACACAGCAGGGAAAACTCAAATCCACCCAATTTGGGGTGGGAGGGAAGAGAGTTGATGATTCCCCCACCACACCCACAACTAAATACAAAGTCTCTCGCCAAGCTACACCCTGTCAACAAAAGCAAAGAAACAGTATAAAAATCAGATTCATTTATTACTTACTTACCCTATTCCTATTTCTCACTCTGTGTTTTAAACAGGATTTTCTTGAGTTTTTTAGGCAGTCATGCAAGCACCAAAATATGTATATAAACCAAATTTGACTCAAGCACAGAAGAGGCACTAAGTTCAAGGACAGAGATGAAATGCAATCTTTCTTCAACCCAACCCATTGTGCCTCAGTCTCATGGTACGAGACACAGGGATGGGGGTCAAAGGCAGTACACTGTCATTAAAGTGAAAACTTCCTTGTTCCAAAAGCTTCTAATTTTCACTGGTCTCTCTCTTCTCCCACTATTATTTAAAGTTTTATCTGCTTTTATAAGTTATTTTGTCTTTTACCGTAAGCCATCCTAAGCCATTTTGGGGAAGGATGGCATATAAATCTAATGAATGAATGAATAATTGTAGGTAAAAAAACCAAACAAACACAAAACCCCCAAAACCAATGGCATGCTTTGGAAGATTCCTAAGCATCCAAAGTTCCCATTGGCTTCCAAGGGCTGCTCAGCTCCTTTAGAATTCAGGCTACTTCAGTGCACTTGGTAGGTTATTTATTGGGAAGTCTTAATCAAGGCTATTTAGCTATTAAGACTTGGTCAGAGTTGCATTAAATTAATACAGGTTTGGCCCTTTGCCCTGAAAGATTCACAATTTTCACATTAAGATATGTATGACAACTGGGACAGTGAGGGGTGTTCATGATGGTGAACAGCTGAATAAATTTCATTACCAGCTGGTAAGGAAAACCGTGAGCTGCGTGAAAGCACAACAAAGTGTAGGAATCTATGGACAACACTGCAGTGGTTAAAACTCTCATAAATCATTGTCAGGATGAGCAAAAACTCGTATTTTCCGAAGGGTTAAGGCTCCCTTCCTCTCCACAGTGAAACATTTAGAGAACATTTCAACTAAAGTCCCATAAGAGAGAGAAAGTTTAACCATGTTAGTCTGAAGTTAAGCAGAGTACAGATGTACTTATTCAGTTAGTCTACAAGGTGCATCTCTGCTCTACCTTTTCCATGAAAATAGTTGGCTTTACAAGACAGATTTTGGCTCAGCTCATTCAGTGTTTAAAAAACAGGCCCATTTATTACTGATCACATATAATTTGCATACATTTTGTATTAAATAAAGGCAAGGAGGGGGAGACCATTGGAGAAACAAGGTTTTACATGCAAAATTTGGCTTTTCTGAACAACCAATGAAAGGCAACTGCAAGCAATTTATTTTCTCATTTATATGCGTGTAGCTCCCACTGAATTTAATAAATTAAATTTATTTAATTAATTTAATTTAATTTAATTTAATAATTTAAAATTAAATTAAATTTTCCCCATGTATCGCCTGATCCTATATCCTTCTAAAGTAATACCCATGCAACATTTCCTAAAATGTGCTAGGATCAAACCATGTTCCCATTCATTTTTAATATACGTTTACAGCTGACAACAATGGCTCCTTCTACAACGTTAAAACATGCCAACAGGAAGAAACAAGTCCTAGCTCTCCCCTAGTCCTTCATCATGTAGTTTAGTGTGTCGTTCTAGGATGCAGCCAAATCATTCAGGGCTCTGAAGGAGCTGCTGCAATTCAGTCAAAGGACTACCTACATTTCAGTATATAGCAAATCCTCTTCCCGGCACTGGACCCAAGTAATTCAACTTGACGTCGGGGAACTCTGAGAGGAATTTTCTCTCTTGGCTTCAGAATGTCATTGCAGCTGCCATTGCAGACAGACGGCTTGGGTAGATTCTGCAAGCCCTGTGAGTCTCCATTCTATGCAGAGAGAGAGGTTACAAAGAATTCACCCTTCTTCTAAATTCCTGCTGTGCAGCAACGTGCACAGATGTCCCACAGAGTTTGATCCTACAGCCCAGGATTTGCACATCTCTAGAGGAGTCGCTTCAAATCCGTCATCCATCCCTCATGCAGCTGGGACAGCACTTGTCCTGCTACAGGTACATGGGAATATGCCAGGATCTCAACTTATGCACTGGATAAACTCCTAACACTGAGCTGTACCTTTTCCAAATACTGTATGTAACTGGAATCACACAACTAAATCTATCTAGTACTGATGTGTCTAAATGCCCGCAAGTTCAACTGAAAACATAATTAGTCTGCAGTAAAGACAAAAGAGATCATGGAGGGAGATTACTACTGGTCATAAATTGTTGACTCCTTAAAATAAATACTAATTTTAACTTTGTCTTTTTTCAAAAGTACCTGTAAGTTTACATTACACATAACACACCGACACCACTTTTTAGAAATGTCATTTTAAGTTATAAAAGTGAAAACAAGTATAAAACTGGTACTTTGTTTGCCATTCCTGTAGCGTGAATACAGCCTTCATTTTGGAAGCTCAGCCTCATATACCAACTTTCAAATCAGAATGAAATTTTGCAATCTCTGTTAACTGTGGAAGTGCTGATGCAGCATTCACAACAATACTATCTGGCACTGCTCTAAATTAATGTTTATTCTACTCAAGTGCCCTACTGCAACACTGAAAAAAGCTATTCCCAGCACAGACACACCTATTGCATTACAACCTACGCAGTATTAGCTTCAGAAAAGGAGCACAGAATGAAAGTAGTGTACGTGCATATGTGTACTTTTAAAGAAAGGGACATAAGTGATACTGTTACTCTGCAATGTCAAAATGAGAAGCCTTCAGGTCAAAGATACTCTGTCCCAACAGAGTCTGCCTTTCCCCTGCAGATAGCATCAGGGCATGCAGGCTACAGATTGGGCAATCACCCAGAGCACTAAGCTCAGTGAAACACAAAGGTAGTAAAGCCCATCTTGATCCCAAGTCACATAATAACCGAGTGCTGGGGGCCCTTAATCTGCAGTATTTTCTCCGCCTTCCATCTGCTGTGACATGAGGTGTAGAGCAAGGGAAGACTGCCAAGTTATATTAATCAAATTGGGTAACATCATCACCTGAAGCTTCAAATATCATTAGAAGAGACCCACTTACTCTCAAGAGAGAGACAGAAAGGCAGGACCTGTCTGGAGGCGTTCCCAGTGTTTAGAAGCCCAAGTCTGGAGCTTTGTACGGTACTGAATTGCTATTTAAGTGTTGCTGTATTTGTTTCTTTTGTTGCTTGTTTTACAGACACCAAAGTCAGCAATTTAGCACTCTAGTAATATGTATTTTAAATCACAGATGCCAATGTGGACAAGAGCAGGAAAGGTTACCCCTGTATCACCCCAGATCTTTATGAACCACATGTCTGAGGCAGTGCTGATGAGACGCAAACAAGCATTACATATACAATGTGAAGCAAAACTTGTGCCCATAGGAAAACTACAGGGAGTATAGTAGTGGGGCAAGCTCACTGCAGCTTGGGGTTTTTTTTTTACCTCGTGGAGGGTGAGATGTTTGCCATCCTTTCTCTTCGAGTCAAATCTGCCATATATTGCACTGTATTTCCTGATCTCCTCCTCTTTGTGAGGATCCTCGTCACTCATCTCAAAGATATGACCAATCATCTTCGCAAGCTTCTTATTTGTTTTCAGTAACTCCTTTACTTCATTCAAGTCACTTTTGGGCAGGGAGGGAACCATACGTTCTACGCATTCAGCAACTGACAGGGCAGCTGCAGCATCCAGGGTCTCAGAGTTTTCCTTTGGTGAAGCTGGAGAGCCAAGGTCAGCTGGGGAAAGACTGTGTTCACTCTCTGTAGTGTGGTGTCCCTGCCATAGTCTCGGTTCACTGCCACTCTGCAGTGTTAAGTTTCCCACACCGTCAGATTTGCCTGCACCCACACTTTGCACGCATGTAGTGGCAGCACATTTTGGAATCTTCAAGTGGGGCTCCCTGGTATTACTACTCCTTTCATAACTACTGCAGGATATTCCCAACCAAGCAGGAGACCCTTCTGGTAACTTATATATCGGAATGCTACTGACTGGTAAGGATGTGAGAGGTTGATTGAAAAGGCCTGGGTTTGTCACCCAGTCCCTCAAAGCCTTCTGCAGTCTTCGAACATGAAGAGGCTTGCTTGCCATGCCTACAAGAGCCATTATCTCCAAAAACTCCTCTTCGCCAGCTTCACAGAGTTGCTGGACATCATCACCACCCTGCTGAATGAAGGCATCAAAGTAGAATAAAAGATTTGCCTTTTGTAATATTCGATACAGTTGCAATTCCCCAAGGGTTCTGGGTAAAGCAGACGCCATCACAGGTAACAGAACCTATGAAAAGTAAAACAAGGAGAAAATGAACATCAGTTACCAGAGTAAATGCTGAAGTTCAGAGACTTTCTTCCTAGACTCAATGTTGTGAAAGAGAAGAGTATTTCTCCTCAGTGTACAAAAGATCATGGCTAGGAGAAAAGGTATTATGTTTTCCCTTTTGACCATTCAGCATGCTATTTGGTAAGCAGCTTTCATTTTCTGAGATGAGTCAATGGCTAAAACATTTATGAATGAATTTCAATCTACCCCTTACTGAAGTTTCAGCAAAGCTGTGACAGGAGATGATTCAAGGAGAACGCAGCTTACTTTCAATTTCACCTAAGAATATCAAAAGGGTACACTGACCTGCTGCTTAGGACAGCTCTTTCTGCCTGCTTCAATTCACAATATAACCAAGGATCTATCTGCCTGATAACAACATAACCACAACTCTAATAAAAGAAACTGCTAATTCTGACTACTCCTCCTTGACTCACTTCCTTCCCAAAAATACTCAGGTGAATGGGTGAGAGGGCAAAGAAGATGGGCTTTACAGCAGGCCTCAAAGTTAACAAATCTAGATTCTGGCTGAACATGCTGAGAGAGCACTCTCTCAACAGATCCTCATAGATACCTGCCATTTGTTGACAGTACTTTTCATAGTTGCTTCTACAAAGTGTTTATGTGCATATATACACAATTAACTTCATGCCTTTGCTGATTTCAATCAAGGCAGCATTACCGAGAGAAAGTTTCTGGGTTAGCAAAGTCCTTCAGGAGTGACAGTTTCAGAGCTTACAATCAATATCTTGAACTTGGCTGCCTCGTAGATACCAGGAAGCCTAGATACACCATTGGTGTTCACTCAATGTGACATGAAACCATACTCAGGGAAAGGTGAGTTACAGTCTGAATGGTCCCAGAAGGCAGCCTCATGCAGTGCACACTACAGCTGTCTCTCCTCAAGGAGACTAAGTGCTCTATTTCTGTATCTTGAGAAAAAATATTTGTACTTTTTTGAATTATGGAAAAATATCCCTTATTACCCATGCATCCTGTGAATGTTACTAAGTAACTCAGAATACCCTGAAAAGTTTTAGTTAAAAAACCATGTATGCTAACATTAACTCCAGCATGGGTTTTACAGAAACAATGGGGAGTTTAGGGTACTGTCATATAGGCTGAATCACTGATCAAGAAAAGTTTGAACTGCAAAATTTATTGGCTGTTATGAAAGCACTAGGATTAAAATCTAGAACTGGACACCTAATATCTTTCCTGCTCTACCACTGCACAGCATGTTAAAATTAGGAGATTAGTTGCTTATAGTCAACATTTACAAAATATGCAGAGCTATACATATTACTAGTTATCAGCATAACTTTCACAAGTATTACCATAAAAAGATACACAGAAGTGGAGGGTGGATTTAAATTATAATTTAAATCACAACCTGGTCAGGAAGCCTCAATTTAAACACTTTTCTACAAAAAGTTCATTCTTGTTGTTTGATATCCCTTATTCATTTAACTTCTTGAAACTTTGCACTTTTAGAAAAAGGCAAGGGCTTGACTGTCTATACAAAATCGCAAGAGGGCTGATGGGTAGGTAGTCAGGTCTGTTATCTCTCATCACCATATAATGCTGTTAACAAGGATGTTATATCTGGAGAGACAAATCCACAGACTGAGAACTGAAATTAAGCATCAGAGAGATGCTTACTGGGATCTTCTAGCCTGAGCACTGAGTCCCATTGGGTAGAGTGGTTTTCTTTAATCTTTATTAATCTATAGAGGAGCCTCTAGGAGCCCCATACAATTGGGCCCCTAATATAGTCCATGGCTTGTTGTGACCCATTTATAAAACTTTTCTAAAAAGGTTACACAAATATATTGTCTCAAATAGCATCTAATATACGTCTCAAGTAGTATCCAATTAGAAGTTAATTCCTATTCCACAACGATATCTTTGAGCTTGAACATATTTTAAATTAAAACTATCTTTATATAGACTTATTTTTTAAAAAGCATCTTGACAAAAAAAAAATACAATTAACTTTAAAAAATCCTATTTAAATTCTTAAAAATGCAATTTTTTTAAAATTCTTGATTTTTATCCACCCTGCAGAAGTGTGTACTTGGGACAAAAGGGTGAAATGCTAGGGAAAAAAAATGGTAGTAGAAAGTATTTTTACATTTACATGCCCTTTTGCTTTTAAGAGCCCTTAATGTCCCCCTCTCCAAAATGTACAAGAACTAACAAAATTAACACAGAACTTTTGTAAGAAAAGTTTAACTTTCAGATGCCCAGCGAGTAAAGCTTTGATTTGATTAAAGGCTACTAATGAAACTGAAATTAAGACAGACATAAAAATTGCACAAAACACAGTAGTAACAGGTTGTATGTGAACATATATCTTCAGGGGAAAAAAAGATTTACACAAGACCGAATGATATTTCTTGACTGGTATTTAAAATAGATGGTGTTATACCTGTTCAGTTTTGAGTGGGCAGTTTAAGTACCATAGCTGGATAGATCACAACCAAATAAATTATGCACTCCGGAATGCAGTATAAAATTGGAAGTCCTTATGAACGCTAAATATTACAGCAAAGTAGGTTAACTTATTGCAGCAGGATCCTTGAAAGGAAATGTATTTGAGACATTCTATTAAAAGCTACATACTGTAATTCAGCAATACGTGAAGTCCCATTAACAGGATCCCAATATATTAAATAGTAAAATTAAAGAAAAACACTGGCAATAAACTGAGATTACATATTGGAAGAGTTGGAGATCTCTCTTCTACACGTTATATTTTTTCCACCCTCACCATAATATTTTAACAAGTGAATTCACACAATGAATACGAATATGATTCAATTCCTCCATCCTGACACAAAATTCACATAAACAGCCTTTGTCTAGAGAACTCAGTAGGGTCCTGAAAAGGAGGAGGAGATGGCCTCTCACCTCCCAAGGCAAAGCGTGGAGCTGCTTTTTCCAGATGACAGGCTGAAAGATGACAGGCTGAAAGAGTAGCTAGTCCATTGGCAATCTTTACCTGGAGGTTCCTAACCAACAAATCTGCTCACAACGGACAAATCTAGATTAATATATGCTATGGAGGTACCACTGGTGACCCCACGGTTCAGACCATGTTGAGGCATTTAAAGCATTACCGAAATTACTGTTTTGTATTTTAAAGCCTGAATCCAGTCTCCAAATTAAAGTAATTTGAGAGGAGAAAGTTTTCTACACATTTAAATAAGGTATTTACTAACTTTTACAGAGACGTTTTTAAATGCTCCTATTGGAAGTTTTAACCTCTTTTTTCTCCTCACGTTAATTTGCACTCCTCTATTTCAATCCCACCTATTCTGACAGTATCTCCAACATGGGACCACTTCTGGATTTTTAAAATTAAACGTATTTAAGTGACCTTACTCAAATGGTCAGCTACTTTCGTTTTCTAATGCTTGCAGCTTGCCTCCCTAGCTCTATTCAGCTCATGAACTTGAAGGCCAGGAAGGCAGGGAGGCATCCGACTGGTCTTTATCAGGAGCACAAAGGAAAGAAACAGAGCTTGAAGAGCAAAAGTCAAAGGAAGGGCAACTATGAGGAAGGCAGTTCTGTCCAGAGGACCAGAGTCTGGCCATGTCTAAGGTGACACAATGAAATGTCCCATAGAAATATACGATCTAGACTTCACTGATGTGCTAATGCAGCTCTACTGTTGCCAATACCTAAGCAAACTCTGAATGAGCGCACCCCTCGTGGGAACCCAGGTAGACATCTAGCTGATGCCTACTCCTGCCTATGCCAAGGAAGACTGGCAGCAGCACCAAAAAGTACCAGTACATCCATCCCAGGCTACTCACAGCACTGCTGCCTGCCTTTCTGGGGAAAATGAAGCAGTTTACCAACAGGAGATGTCAAGTATCACTGCTTTAGTGTTGCTGCTTCAGCTTCATAATAACCATGCAGCACTGCTGAGGGAAACATGACAAAAGGCTGTATAAATAGAAGGGCAAGGAGGAGGGGATTCGTACACGACTATCCAATACCCTTATTTCTGCTCTATTAACGGAAGAGTCAGGTTCTTGATCAGACACTGGGGCCATGTGCGCCCTGCACCTCCACACACTCCTTACAAAGGCTCAGGCCTTCCCACCTGCAGTAATGGCCCTGGGTTTGCATCAGGCAGGTTGGTAATCTCCTGACAAACTACCAGAAGATAGCCAGAAAAGACTGCTCCCTCAGGACGGAATTACATAGCACTTTGAGGTACTTTCAACTGCAAGCATCTTCCCACCTTACAATTTGAGAAAGACTCCTGGCTGGACTACCCTTGCACTGACCCTCCTGACTCATTTCCAAGTCTCCCTTCCTGATCATTTGCATCACAAGTGTCAGATGACCTTAAAACAAGTCTCTGCTCCGGTGGGGAAGAGGTGAAGAACAGCCTGTAGGAAGCAAAGCTAGGTAACGTGTTGGGA